TTTCTCCTTCATTCGCATAGCGACGTTATGGGCTACCTTCTCAGTCGGGGTACTGAAGGATCCGCTTGTCCTTGGCACGGGTGATTGTTCACCATGGGAGGAAGAGCTGGGAGCATGGGGGCGTTGGCGGCGTCCTGCAGCAATAATTTCACGAGCCATTTCAATTGCGGCTTGTGTGTCCTCTGTCTCTTCATACAAACCGTGGGCTAGTGTCATGACCACACGATGGGAAGAGTGTTGCGCTAAGTTTGCTCCTTTCGCGTCAAGAAAGTTTCGCAACTCTATATGCACCGCAGGAAGGTCACATATTTCCTGGCGGAACAGCGAAGCTGGTGGAAACATATCAGCTACAGTCCTTTTCAAATGGATACCGGTGAGGTCGGGCGTAGTCTCAAGGAAGCGAATAGACGATATGAAACCCTTTTGTGCACTTGTTAGAGCTGTAAGGGCATCGTTTGTTAACTCCCGCATAAATGTATAAGCGGGGGGCGCGGGTGCATCGTCTTCCACTTGTTGGCTTTGTGGAAGACTGGCCTCGTCACCAACTGGGGTAGTGGGAGGCATTTTGTTTACCACTTAGTTAAGTGGTGACGGGTGGTGGTGCCAAAAAAAACAATAGCAACAAAAAAAAACTTGACAACTGCGTCGATCGTAGATCGGTTGACCTTGTAAGGGTCCGACCCTCGGCGCCTGCAGCTCTTGCAGGTAGAAGAGGTCCGACCTCTGACGCCCGGAGCCTGTCCGGGTCAGGTAACGTCTTCAGCTGTCAACCTACTCTTGCGTTACGAGAGTAGGCGCGATGGTCCCTACGAGACGTCCACACCAGCCAGTATACAGGCCTAAGGGGTGTCTAGTCTCTTGCGGGACACTTGCGCGACCGCTAGTCCAGTAGTCGAAACCCTTGTCTACCCAGCGCACAACACCCCGGAAGATCACCACGCCCGGAAACACCAGGCCCGAAAGCCGACACCGTTATCTGCCCCGAAGGACCGGTGGGGTTCCCTGCCGGAGAGGATCTCCTCACGGTTCGAGTTGCCAGCCTCGCGTCACCAGGAAAAAGATCCCGGGTCAACCGCTCTCAGGCAAAACAAGGGTCTCTTCCACGTTCCAGCGCCAACAAACCACTACCTCCACTTCCAACTGACCTTCAGACAAACACACAACAACCAAATCAAACAAACAAACCTCCCTTCTCCCAAACGTTTGTGGAGCGAGCGACGCGGCATAGCACCGACGCGGAGAGCGCGGGCGTGTGTGCAGCAGCAAGCGGCGGCGGCAATCAGTGGAGAGTAGTTGCAGCAGCACAACGGCCGGCGGCAACAGAAGAGAGCAGCGGCAGCAGAGAGCAGCGGCAGCGACGAGCAGCGGCAGCAGAGAGCAGCGGCAGCGACGAGCGGCGGCGGCGAGCGGCGGCGGCGCGCGGCAGCGGTATTAGAACAGAGCAGCAGCAGCGACGAGCGAGCGGCGGCGGCGAGCGGCAGCGGCGAGCTGCGGCGGTGCGCGGCAGGAGTAGCAGCTCAGAGCAGCAGAAGCGACGGGCGAGCGGCGGCGGCGAGTTGCAGCGGCGCGCTGCAGGAGTAGCAGCACAGAGCACCAGCGGCGGTGGTGTAGAGCGGCGGTGCGCGGCCGCAGAGAGCGGCGGCAACGGTAGCGGCACAAGCGAGCGGCAACGGCAGCAGAGAGCGACAGCGCCAGTGGAGAGCGGCGGCGGCACCTGGGAGCGGCGGCGGCAGTAGCAGGCGGCAGCAGCAGGAGTCGTCGGCAGCAGTAGCGGGCGGCAGCAGTAGCACAGAGCGGCAGAGCACGGCGGGAGTGCGAGCAGCGGCGGTGGCAGCAGAGCGCGACGGTAGTAGCGAGCGGCGGCGGCGAGGGGTCGTGTACCGGCGAGACGCGACGAGTTGTGGGCACACGCAAGTGGGGAGTCGGCCGCAGGAACGGGAGGCTGGAGATCGCTCGCGCAAGGATTTCACGGATGGCCAATGGGAAGAGGGGAAAAAGAATCGAACTCGAAATCAGCTATTAATTAATGTGGGATTTCGTGAGGAATTCCTTTAAAGAATTAGAAAAAGAGATTTTATTAAAGTGTCAATGGACAGGTCTACGACCGACCGTCCGAGCCCGAGCGAAGTCCGTGCAGTCGGACAGTTTTCGCAGGTAGGCTCTGCGTTTTGACACAAACCTCTGGCCCGGAACGAACCTACAGTCCGAAGCGCGAGCCCTACTTATATACTACTTAACCCTTACAGTACCATAAAGAAAGACAAGTTCTGACGCATCCAGCAACAACACAAATGGATGCGCCTCCGTATCATAATTGTTTCACACCAGTGCCGGATCGGCACATCCGAAGCCCATCCGCCGCATTCATCGCGCGCGGTGGGTAAAACACGGGAGTAAGGGGATTAGCTGGTAACAGGCGCCTGGAGCGATTTGGCGCCACAGCGCTGCCAGCAGAGCCACGTGTGCTCAATTTGGCCCGTGGCCCGTTGCCGGGTGCGCGCCTGTTACCCGGCGGCTGCGGCGGCGATTGTTGTTACCCGGACCGAGGATGCATCAGTGCTGAACGTCTCACGAAATAGAGATAAAGTGCATCACAGAAAACGTTTCTCTCGCTGATACAGCAGTGAGGGAAGCTCGAATTTTCAACTGCCGTACATCAAATTTTTGACAGTTAATGCTCGGCGCAATTGATGATGATGAAATATGATCTGATCAGAGAGGATAAGGCTAGCGCGACGATACAACATGAGTGTGCTCATTGTCAAATCCCAACAGCTCGAAAAAAAAGAGGGAAAATGCATGTTTAATCATCGTCGCGCCAAGACTATCCCGAATCGATCAATCAACTATCGTTCTCTTCAAAAGCGACATCGATCTTCTCGAATAGCAAAGATCTTTACGAGACTCGCGGGGCACTGCCGGAATGTGAATGATCAATTGCCAGATATGTTGTCTTTCACGTCGCCGAAGGCCTTCTTAGTCTCATCCATGGCGTCCGAGGCGGCATCCTGAACAGTATCGACTCCGTCCTTGGCCATGTCCTGGGCCTTATTAGACATGTCATCTGCAGCACTCTGCATATTTGATGCAGCATTTTTAGCAGCATCAGAGGCTCCCAATTCGTTGTCTGCTGCCTCAGCGGCATTCTGAGCCTTGTTCAGCCCATCCTGTGCGGCATCAGCAGCATCGTTGGTGGCGTTATCGAAAGAGTTGGCCATTGCGAAAGTGTTTTGGTGAAAATAAGGAGTGGTCGGCCGCAGTCGACGGGCTTTTACATTGCAAAATGTCTTCCCAAGAGCCCATCCTTTTGGGGGCGATACTGTTTGAAGAGTTTCTAGTAAACTCTCTTATGTGTCTGTTAAACCTTCGAAACACGTTCTGCGCGACGTGAAGCGAGACTATTGTTTCATTGAGATTTTTTGGAAATCGACTTCAACCGTTGACCACGCCGCGAAAAAGAGTAATTATTGACCCTGATCAAAATTTACTGATATTTTCATTTCTCCGACGAGAATCCAACCCCTGACCTCAAACAAGTCATATTCTCCGTTTCCTTAATACGTGCAGCCTTCGAGTTCGGGACGCCTTTCGTTGTTGACCACACATATTTGAACGAAGAACGTTTGTTCATACGGTATAAGTTGCGAAGGCTGGCGAACGAATTACCAGAGCTATGGTACAAGAAAAGGAGTCGGAATCTAGGTACGATAAGAAAATATATAGGTTTGTCAATGTACCACTCTGTTAGCAATGTAGCAGTGGTCCTGCTCAATACGAGGAGTTCGCGATTGTAATGGTGGGATAGGCAATGACCATCTGTAATATTCGAATACATACTGTTAGAGTCCCTGTACAGTTCGGCATTAAGAGAGGCCAAAGGCATCCTTGTGATCCCTAAAGGAAAGCAAGGAGGCAGTGATAACACACCTCTTGAAGGTACCATTCTGACGGACAGTGGTGCACTTAGGACAAACACAGGATGTCAAGCTGGAAAATAAATCGCAAATTACAATATTTTCGATATTTTATAGAAGTTGCACTTCTTTTTGTTGTATTGCGAACTCTTTTCATTTGAAGCAGTTCAGAATGCCTGGGACCATAGTTTCCGAATAAGTCCTTTGGCCCTAGATTCCTAGCTAGAGTAGGGTAGAGGAAAGGACTAAAAGATGGAAAAAGTTTCCGACGGACCTCCCCAGTTGGTCTCCTCTTCTGGGGAAAGTGCTTGACTTTCCGACAACCTAGATCAACAAAATATTCATGGACAGGCGCCTGGATCAGTGAAGTGGGCAGTTGCGCACGGCAGTAGCTGTACTGGATTTTAGATTTCTGAATATAGAAAGCGGCCCCAGAGTCGCACCAAATCGTCCCACACCAGAGGGTGTGAGGATAGCGGCTGAAAGATCGCTTACGACGTTTATAGATACAGGTGCTACAGAACAACCAGAAATTCGTTTTAAAGGGCGTTGGTGGTTCCAATCAGATCGGTATCATCTTGAGGCCCAGGCAAGAAAAATCAGCTTAACGAGGGGACTGTAAAGGTGTGGTAAGGAGGAGTAGGGGGGTGGAGACATATCTAGAGGACTTTGTAGGCAAGAAAGTGCCCCCTCAAGAAAACATAAGTAGAAGTATTGTTTCAGAGGATACAGGAAGACGCGCGATTGGATGGATACCACCAAGGGGGAAGGATTCGATGTCGTATCTCTGAGCGAGACGTGAAGGCAATGCCATGCAGTATATGAAAGAAAGATGTAAATGGCAGGTGGCATCGGAGAAGGGGAGGAGGCGGCAAATCAGAGGCAGAGTTTGTTGGTATGCAAGTCTGTTTCTGAACTATCGGCTGACGTGAGATATGGGCGCGCAAGCATAGTGAGAACGACTGTTTATATAGCCCATACACGGCGATGAACGAGACGGCGGGGTCGTGAGACGTTTTGAGTTGAAGAAAACCTGAGAAATAAGTGATCTGAAGAACAAGATGATCTGAAGAACAAGATGAGAGGCTAAGTGTGTGATATGGACACAGGTTAATTTTACCAGGACTGAATTCAGGACCAGGAACAAAAACCGGACGGGAGAGTATCTAGCGAAAGAGTCGTGTCGAAAATGCGACTTCGTGTCGAGATGTGGACATTATGCCTATCTGGGAGGAGAATATTGAAGAACAAGGACATCAAAAGTAGCAAGCCGCCAGATAGGTAACAAGATGCAGACGAGCGGGGCAATACGAGAGTTACTACTGGGCGGTGGTGCCAATCGGAGCCGGCGGGGCCGGCGGCGGAGGGGGAATAGAGGACGTGGTAGTGGATGTGTGGCCGGCACCGACAGCGTTCTTAGTCTTGTCGACGGCGGTATGCGTGGCGTCCTGAGCCGTAGTGGCTACCTTTTGGGTTGCTTCCTTTGTGGCGTCTACGGCGGCGGAGGCCTTGTTGGAGACACCGAGCTTGTCGTCGACTTTGTGGAGGGTGTCGGTAGTTTTGCTCACGCCAGTAGTGGCGGTGTCAGTGGTCTTGGTGGCGACATTGCCCGACGCATCCTTCGTGGCAGACGCGCCGGTCTTTGCGGCATCACCGGCGGCGGCGGTGGTATCCTTTGCGGCGTCGGCGGTCTTCTTGACGGTGGATTGGAAGCAGCCCATTGTGTGCGAGGTTGAACGGCGGACGAAATGCGGCAGCGGAAGATGGTTAGGAAGAGAGGGGGTGGAGGAGGAGAGCGGGACAGGAGGCTGAGAGAGTGTGTAGGGAACAGATGGGCAGCGGGGGGGCGGGGGAAGGGAGGGGGGACGATTTGCTGAGTGTGGGAGGGGACGGGAGTGGAAGGAGAGAAAGAGGTCGGCGGGGTAATTGTAGGACGGAGCCCTAAGTGCGGGACATGGGTTTCGTTTGGGTGGGGGTGGCACATTATTATTTTAGAGTAACGGTCTAGTTTGGGACATGATTGGGCAGCAAAGGCGATGTGGGTGTGAAGCAGCGCCCGGGGGATAAGGCAGTGACGTGGACGTCGTCCCTGTCCGCGCCACTGTCCACGTCCAATCTCTTTCGTTCCACCGCGGAAAACACTATTTTTAGGCCCTCACAAGCGGTACCGAATACACGTGGACAATCGCCAGCCCTCTTCCGTCTCAGTTCCACCGCTACGCATCATAACAACCGGGCACGGTTGTTATGATGCATAGCTTTACCTAACTTATCTGCCCAACCACATCACTGACAACAGTCAAAACGCTGGCACCCGCAGCCAATCACGAGCCTGCTGTCCGGCCCTGCCTGACCTGGTTTATTCTGGTTTCGACGCTTGCGCACCTAATCAACCCCTCACACGTCGCTCGCCGCCCTTGTTGCCGACTACAAGTATCTGTTGCTGACAACAGTTGGCACCAACTCGCGACGTTTGGAACTGCATCACATTTCTGCCCTACTGCGACCGGCCACCTGGCGCAGCCGGATTAATTGTGGGTAGCATCACCCAAACATTTTCCTCATCCACAACTACGGTAATTGACAAGCCATCGCTTGATCCTCATTTACTCTTCTCACTGATCGATCGTACCGTAAACAGGACCTTCCGAAACAGGCGCCCTTTCCCTTCACAACCCCTGCCTGCATTCCCAAACATTGCTTCTCGCTAGTCGTTTCACGCCACAAACGGATCGCTAGCCACACCGTAGGGCCCACCATTTCAGACTGAAATTTTCAGTTGCCACTCACCTTGACCTCGTTCACGTCTGCCTCCTCAGCCATGCTCTCAACGGCTTCCTTCTTCTCCTCAACCTTGCTCTCGGCGGCTTCCTTCTGCTCCTCAACCTTGCTCTCAGCGGCTTCCTTCGTCTCCGCAACCTTTTCCGTAACCTTGTCCTTGCTCTCCGCGACACCCGCCGCACCCTCCTCGCCCTTGCCAATCACCTGTTTCACGCCGTCAACCCCCTTCTCCGCCACCTTCTTCGTCGTATCCGCGACTGCCGCGGCCCCATCCTTGCCGGCCTCGACCGCCTTCTCCCCTACATCCTTCACCTTCCCCCCCACCTTCCCGGCCGCTTCCTTCCCTTCCTGCATCTTGGCGTTAACACAACCCATTTTCTTTTTTTCTCTTCTTGCGTTAATCCTTTCCTTTCTTAGATTTATCCTTTCTCACTGCAAATTCCGCATCCCGCACATCTCCTCCGCGCCTTATGAACACTCCCTCCCACCCGCATTTTTCCCATCACTTCCCACCCAACCCCACCCCACCCGTACCTCTCGGCCCAGTCTCGTCTTCTACACTCTGCCCCCAACTGTCATCACGCATCCACCCCAACGTACATACCCTATTCCCGTTCCCGTTCTCAAGTCCGCTCCGAATGTCGTCTCACATCTCCGTTACTCAATCATCTCTACGTGCCCACACCAAATATGGGCCTCGTCAACAATTCTATAATTTTATGCCTTGGCCCCGCTCGTTGTATCCATTTTCCCGCTTTTCGCCACCGTACTAATATCGCCTCCTCATACATTATCTGCTTCTCACCCTCCTACTCACGGTCCCTTGCTGTTAACTGAAGGGCCTGACCACGCTTTTTCCGGGCATTGACATGATGACAGGCCCTTTGTAAGCACGTTTTCGTTTTGAGCAACTTTCAGCTGATGTGTCAACACATGGCCCCTTCTCATCATTGCCACAATACCAACCTCGCGCGCTGCATACTGTACTGTACATGTGGCTACAGTAGCTAGAACACTGTAGTTCACGTGCTGGGAGCAACCTAAATATCTTTGATTCAGTTTTTAACGTTGGGCTGCATCTCGCAAGAAGAAATTTCAAACCCAGTACATTCCCGCGGCCTGTTGTTGCAACTATTTACATAATTAGGTGCACGCAATGGAGGCATCTCCCCAACGGCAGGCCCGTTCCAGATGTGAATTCCACTTTGAACCACGCACCATACGGTACGGTTGCTTTTTGAGCGAGACCCAACCGTTCAGTACAGTGTACCCAAGAGTACTGCATCGCGAGATATACTCTCTGCAGCATCAGCTAGGTATGTGCCCACCGTCTGATGTCGCTGTCAACAGCGCGCGTTCGCTACATGGGATGCTCTTCAGTTACTTGGTTTTAATGCATACATTCGCACAGAAACACATTTGACGACCGCCGAGGTGACTCCTCGTCTCTTCAACCCGTTGAAGTATACTGCATTGTATATTTCTTCTGTGGCATAGAAAAAATTGCAATGCCAATCGGCATCTCTCTCCCTGGCTTTGTTTGTCTCATTGCACGTCGCGTGTGATTCAGGATAAGTTTCCCCTCTCGACAGTATCACTTTATGCGAAACTACAGAATTCTTTCCCAAAGCAGGCACAAACAGAACTGGTTGCCGCAGTGGACTTCTGTTTCTGTGCATACAGTGAGCCTATCACCCGTCAAGAACATTCAACCTTCCAGGCTGTAGTTCGAGGGTCGCACCCGTTCATCGGCGCTCGGAATGGGCCATCGTTGCGAAATGGTACTGTACCGTAGACAAGAAGCAATGAACTCGAAGCGATCTGAGGTGTCAGAGCCCGTCCCAACACAGCGTATCGCATTTCTTTTGTGATGTGAGTTTTTGTAAAATCAAGCCTCGATGAAGTCAACGTGGACGTTGCGAACTGCATATTGTAAGGTACTCATACCGCGCAGTTATATCATCTCAGTACAGGTCAAACTCTCTATTGAATATGTCTAGTGTCTCCTAGTGTCTAGTGTCCCAGCGATTTGGATTAATTAATCCGCGGTTTTGGATTAATTAATCCATATGGAACAGTTGGTGGAGGGATACTGGCAAGTACTAAAAGCCCCGGCTTTTCATAGGAAAGGTCCCTTTATGTTGCTTTACGACTCGAAGGAGTGCGTAGAACGTACGTGGGATGTGAAGCATATCCTTCCCTTGGACGAGTCGCATATGAAGACCTCTTTTGAGCTCTCTTTACGGCACTGCGAGCACACTCGCGTCGTCTTCTTGCCGCACACAACACAATCCTTCTGCGCCCGCGCCGACGTCTCCGTGCCGTTGCGTGTCTTCTTCCTCTTCTTCGTCGGCGTTGCGTGCGGGCCGAGGCCTGACGTCAGGGTCAACACAGCCGCGCCTTCAGCCGCTGACGTGCGAGCGCGTAGCCCGACAGAGTCGTAGTTGTTGTCCACCAGCTCCAGCGCCAGCTGTTCATAGAATTCGTTCTGTAGCATAGTTTGCAGCGGCCCCCTCGAGCCTGTGTGCAGCAGCCATGCGTCGACGATAACCATATCCAGAAGAGAAAAGCCTACCCTCATAGACCAGTCTTGCGTCATGTATGTTCGCTCCAGCCTTAGGTCGTCCTGTCGACAGCGTTTGTGCTGATCAATGCGCGCACAGGCGGAATAGTAGATCTCAGCGCACTGCGGCTGCTCAACCGTGAGCGCAACCTGTGCTGGGCCGGTCTCAGACTGGCGCCAGCGAGTGCGCTCGTACGGGGTGCCTGCAGCAGCGCTGGACGCGGACGAGATAAAGTACCGCCGCTCGCGGTCGACCCAGACCAAGGCCATCTCCGCCACGTCACCGTTTTCGTCCTCATGTGCGAACGACAGCCAGCGCCCCCTGTTTGCTACTGGCTTCGCCTTCAGCAGGCGCATGGGGAATTTCCTCGTCGCCGTCTTGACCACGCCGATGAAGCGCAGGCCTCGCGACCGTAGATGAGCTGTCGCCTCGTAGCTCGCAAAGTACGAATCAGCACAAACGATGCGTGTTCCGGCACCAAGCCAGGGGTGCAGCAGTCTGTCCAGCACAACAGTGCCGTGACCCAGCCCCTCCTCTCGTTCACTGTGACGCTCCTCCTCGTGCTCGGCCGTCGTCACCAACTGCAACTGCATCATCACGCCACTCCTTCCGCACGCAGAGTTCTGGATCTCGCAACCGTTCTCCGGCTTGCGGTCTATCGCCACGTACTGCGGGAGTCCGTGCTCAATCCAGTGCCCGCCCTGCCCATACCACCGGCTCATGCTCTCGTCAACGCAGATGAGGTCGGACGGCACGAAATTTGCGGCTCGATAGTGGTTGATGGCATCAACAAAATCGTCCACGAGTCTCCAGCGGTGCTTCTCCGATAGCTCATCCGCTGCGCGCTCACCCTGCTGGCTGAACACCAGGGAGGACCAGATGTCCTCAAACCTGTTGCGGGGCATGCCAGTCTTGGTGCCAAAGCATGGAGCGGAGAGCAAGCGGTTCCTCGCATTGACAGCCCACAGCTCCCTCCGCTTCCCAAAGTGATATCTTGTTCCCAAGATAAGGATGCCCAAGAACTTGAGCAGCTCCCCTGTGCTTACTCCTCGTTTTCCCTTGTCTTGTAGCACCTCCGACGTCTACTGCACCATCTTGATCAAATGGCCGTGAGGTAATGCGGCCATAAAGTAGTCGAGTGGGCGTCTCGTTGCCGAGGTTCCGGAGTCACCCCCTTCGACTATGGATTGCCCTCCAATACCCCGCATCTCCCACATTCAACGCGGCACCGCCCCCCCAACCGGCTCCAAGACTTCCCGCTGGCTCCACACTACTCCATGCGCGTCGCAGGTGGTCTGGATTTGCAGTGGAGGCTCTGGAGTGGGTGGTTCGTCTCGCTCAGGGCTACTGTAAGCACCATCGCCCGTCTGCCCGGCGTTTCGTCCGTGCTCAGCTTTACGGGGTGCAGGGGTCGCTGGGTTGCTCTGTTGCTGCTGCTGCGGCGCGGGAGTGACCAGGGGAGGATCCCCGAGCGTGACGCTGCGCACACTGATGCGCCTGTCCCGCTGACCTGCCAGAGAATCCCACCTCACGGTGAGAAAGATGCTCACCCTCCCTTTTCCGGCCTCCGTTTCCACCCTCAGCACCCCCCCTAACACCAGTGTTTCCTTGTAAAGCGACCCGTCAAAGCACTTAGACT